GCTCGTTCCGCGTCTCGAAACGGTTGAACTATTTTGTATCGGTAGCAGCCTGATGCAGAAAAGCTCAGCTGTGTTACCGAGGAGTCGCGCTTTTTTGTCCAAATCCCGGACTTGTTTGTACAATTGATTTTTTTTAAAACTTTTTGCAATCATTTGAAAGTTGCTCCAAGGTTTTTTTTCCAGGTATTGTAGGAAGCACGTCTTGAGATCTTATTTCCAGTTCCCATGAAAGAAGGAAAAGCAACCCGAGGGGAGAATGATCGGATAACGGGAGAACGGCGCGTGCTGGAGGAAATCAAGTCTGCCCACGGAGAAGGCAGGACCGCCGCGGAGGAAACGAATGGGATCTGTCCATTGTCCGTGCTCTTCCGCCCGCTCCGGTGGGAGCTCGGCCTCCGGTGAAAGGATCGGTGCTAATTGTCTGTGGCATCCATGTGAAATAGGGGATTAAGCTGAGGCATAAAACCACTAAACCGGAGACCTCCCAGACACTTAAAAAGGGCTTTTTCCCCCCTCTCCACTTGCTCTAGCTAACACACAATTACATTTCCAAGAAGTTTATAAATATTGCTAGATTTAGGACTGATTTCTATAAACCTTTTTGCTTTACTGCAGAAGTCCTGTCTCACAAGAGAAATGCTGCAATGAATGAATCGCTTTGTGCTTTGGCCACACAAAGCCACCGACTGACTCATTTTCAGTGGCTTCGTTAGTGGAAATGATTCACGGGCTGGATTACCATGACCTCTTCTCTGGGCTGGTGCTCTCTCCTCTTTTAAGGTACTTGTGACGGCGGAGGGGACGGCCCGGAGATCCTGAAGCAGAGGGTGGTAGGAAGCACCTGTGAAAGGGCCAGAAAACATAACTCAGTTTTTTGAATTACTCCAGCTGGAGCTACAAAGCTCCAGCCCACGCCAGACACGGTTGTAGTGCCTCCGTGTACCCAGAGCGTGTCTGGAGGGGCCGTGGGGCTTCCTGCCCTCTTTTTATGTGACGAAGTAAGTTTTCGTGGTACGTACTGTTGTTTTCATTGCCTCGTGTTTAAAAGATGGCATAGCTTTAATTAGAAGGAAAGAGAAACAAATGCGTTGCAAAAATACATACGCTAAGCCAAACCTGGTAGCAGTTGGATTAATGAACGTTTTAAAAACTCCTTGAATGCAGAACATTTACAAGGCCGGTTTAGTGGTAATACTTATTACTCATCATATACATAAAAACATTTCGGAGTGCGGGTAGTGGCAGGGTTGTTATGCTCACCCAGCCTGGTCCTGTTACTGCCCGAGTCCATTCCCTGCTCCAACGAGTAAGTTTAAATCAATTCAGCATCTGTTTCTCAACAGTAGGTCAGTAAAGTTACATATATTTTCATTTTAGGTATCTCCTTTGTCCAAAGGGTTGTATTAGGAGTCACCCTTATCACATGTATTGCTGAGAAAATACTATGGTGAGAGTTACCGTGACCTTGGACAATGAGGAGTTTCTCTCTCCTGCAAATTGTTCGTGGCTGGTTTCCTTGCAAAATAATTGTCTATCAGCTGTTGGATAATCTCTTGCGTGTAAACATCAATGAACTTTTTGGTGGTTTGTTTTGGTGTTTTTTAAATTCAAACCAACAAAAGCCATGCTCCAGGTACCAGCTGGGTGTGTTATTCCTGCAGCTTACCCAGTGGGGTATGTTTGCTGTAGAGCACGGAGCTCCTCTGGAGCAAGGCGAGCGCATCAGCTCTGCGCCCGCGTCTCGGCCTCGTGCCCGAGTGCCCTCTGGCTCGTGTGCTCCATGAAGAAGCCGTGATGAACATCCTAGGCTTGCTATACCTTCTCATCGATGTATGAAAATGCAAGAGAAGTTAACGGGGAAGTTCATGGGTTCCTCTTTTTCCATGCACTGTTGGATCTCGGTGGCAAGTTCCCGTTCATGTGAGGTCCTGGGCTTCCAGAGAGGCGTTGAGCTCCGGCGGGGACGTGTCCGTCAGGGCTCCCATGGGGAAGGTGGAGGCACTTCCAGGTGATCCCTGCGTCCCCAGGAGACGCAGCGCGGGGCTGGTCCGGCTTCGTCCTGCAACGCCTCGGTCGCCTCGCAGGGTCTTGCCTGTGAGCGTGTGTGTGCGATAACCACCGCCATCTGCGCCTGGGCTTTGCCCGATCAAAAACGAGAGTCAGCTGGCTGCCGAGACGTGGCTCCGGAGGCGGAATTAGGCTTTCAGAGTTTGGGCAATGGAAAAGAGGTGTGGGAATGGCCACTCAGAGGCTTCCCTGTCTGACAGTGTTCCCATCGTGTGGTTGCCAGAGGCAGTTTGAGACAATCCAGGTGATCAAACCGGCCGAATTTTGCTGAGGTTTACAGTAAAAGGTTGTGGTCACCCTGCCTCAGCCTGTGGTGTGGTCACACCCCGCCCCACAGCCACGGGTGGGTGCACGGAGCCTTTCCCACAACGCAACCCCCCTTCCCTGCTCCGT